GCTTCATGGGAGCTTTCGGAAGTCAACTGGTTCAACCATGTCCTCCTGCTCAGTCGAGTCTGCGAGGCCACCTGGTATAAAGGGATGCATCTTTCCCAGTGGCCTGCTGAGTTTAGAAGGTTGGTTTGGCTTGTGGGCGAGCCAACCGGAACCGTCGTTTGGTCGGAAGCGAGGCTATCGGACGGCGGAGGGATCTGGGCCCTAAGCGGGTCCTGATGTGTTTCCAAAAGAAGGAAGCCGAAGGCTACTGGCTCCCGATCGCCTTAGGAAAAAAGGTCAGGGTAGATGAGGGTCATTCGCGTCCGACTCTTGCCATAGTAGGAAAGTCGGCTGAATTCAAAAGGGTCATAGTCTTGAGTACTAAACACTGGGTGGTCTCTTCATGGTCCGGAAGGTCAACGATGTCAACTGGCATCGGGGCAATTGATGTTGAAGCCGAGATCCATGGACCGCCTCTGCGGGCGGGGGATGCGCCTTCGGACCCTTGCCGCGAGACGGAGGATGGAGGACCAACGAGGGCAGAGCGCGCGCAGGAGGCCCGCTCTTTCGCTGAAGTAGCAGAGTTTTCAGTCACGGGGTCGCTAAGGAGCGCCCTGTAATGTAGTCCCTTGATTTATAAACCCCCCCCCTCAACAACCAAGGCCTCCAAAATAATGTATAAGAAAATCAATCAGTTGATAATTAAATAAGGAATCCTTAGCTAGCTACCTCTGGAGCTACTCTGGCAATATTAAATTAAAAGGAAATAAGAATTCCTAACTTTGAAGACATCTGGAATATTAATTACAATAAAAGGGAATGAATCATTGGAAATAGAAATAACTGTTTAAATTTCAATGGAAATCTCAATCCAAAGACCTGCAATTTCAATGGTAAGTAAAGCAAATCAAAAGGCAAAGAAAAGGAATAAAGATTTAAAGCCTCAAATCTCCAGACATTATTCTAGGGCCCCCCCCCTAAATAATGTCAGAAAGCTGCTTGCGGGACTACCCCCTTTGCTTGAATGATTTTTTGTTTTTCAATACTTTTGAATAAGGGATTTTATAAAGAAAGTGCGCACTGACTGTTGGAAACTTTTGGAAAGCTTCAAAACTAAAGAGCTTAGGAAAAGTTAATAGGGAATAGAGGGTACGTGCGCATGCTTGGGGTTAAAGGCATGTTGTACGTATTATACGTATTTAGCAGCGCTTAAATGTGCAAGGCAAGTTAGTTATATATTGGCAGAGTCAAATGTAGTCAGGCACAGCTACACCATGCCGAGGGAATGATACTCCGCTGATGGCTCATGGTTTGCCTTCATCACTTGACATCAAAATGGAACTGGAAGATGTTTAGACTCACAAAAAACTGGAAACAAAACGCAGGAAGGGCCCTGTTTGTCAAATGTTCATCTCATGCTAGTCAAATGCAAACGCAGCTGCCACAAGTGTCTCTGATGAATTTCAGGAAAGGTCTCTCAGCATAATATTCAGCACACTGTTTTGCTGCAATGCTTGGTTGCAGTTGCACTAAACACATTTAGGTGAAAATGCAACTGTCCACACATATTGCCGGTAGAAATCTGCCACTGCACCAAAGTATTACACAACGCGTCAACGGTTGTAAAAGTGACAAGTGCCACTTTTGAAAGTTGCATCGTTGTTTTTTGCCACCTGGGGGCTCAGGTGTATATAACTTGTGCTTGTTTCGGTGGTGTCAGTGGTCCCTTTGGCGGCTGATTGGGCCACCAGAAGCTCTATATATATATATATGTGTATTATATCTATATATACAAAGTGGTGTGTGGTTGGTGTCAGAGATTCCTTAATTTGGTGGCTCATTGAGCCGCCTGAGGCGTGCAAAAGCTTGCAAAACAATACAAACATGAACATGATCTGTATCAGCTTGTTTGAGACTATACTTTTGGCCGTCCAGGAACTTACAGAACTTATAAGTTAGTTACAAGTAACTTATACAACTTACGGTTATAATTAAGAAACTAATAGAACCTAAGTTCCCTAAGTACTACTTACAAGTTGCTTAAGTCCTGCAAGTGTCTTAACTAAGTTGCAAATGCCACAAGTAAAAACGAACCACCAAGTACCTGAAGTCGGAGGCCTTCGGGTGAAATGGAGGCTCGCGTACCTTAATGAAGAAGGCGAGCTGGGGTTGGCAGGTGCGAGACCAGCCCAGGAACCGGTGAAGATCAAGGAGATCATCTGTAAGGTGGACATCAGCAAGGATGGAGTTTCTTGCCGCTGTTCAGCGGTTGCGTGGTTGCTTTTTGTTGTCTTTCAGTTGTCATTGTTGTGGTTGGTGTTGTGGTTGTGGCTCTTGTGGTTGCTGTTTTTTGTGGTGAGTTGTTGTCGGTGTTGGTGTACTGTTTTGTTTAGTTGTCATTGTTATTATGGTTGTTGTTGTCTAGTGGTCGTTGTTGTTGTTGTTGCTGATGTTGTAAATTACTGTTGAACCGATGATTCGGTAGTGGCAATAGTAGTAGACAAGAAGAAGTAGGTGCACAAGCGCAACAACCATCAACCAAGAAAACACAAGCAAGACAATAGCGACAGCCACAGTAAGAGGAAAACCAGAGAGAACACCGACAACAAATACTACTGTTGCTTCTTCTACCACTGCTACTACTACTACTACTACTACTACTACGACGCAACTGCTATTCCTGCTGCAACAACAGCGACCACACTACCAAACCAACAACAAAACAACAACAACGACAACAACAACAACAAACCAATCACCTGCATGGTTTGTCTCGTTGTTGAGGGGCAACGGCATTTACATTGCCAATATGGCATGCTGCTAACACCCACTGTTTGCGTGGTTTCTTTTGAAGCCTGGTCCAAGCGTCACCACATTAATTATCGGTTGTATCCCCAAGAATTCAATGGTGTAATTTCCCAGTCAGCAGGGTCATTTTTTGGGTGAAAGGTTTGATTGTGTTCATGTCACGTCATCCGCAATCAAAACTCCCTGGTTTGCAATGTTTGCTCCCGGCCGCTTTTGTGCTGTGAGTGCTCAAGCCACTGCAATTGACCCGTCGACCTGCTCTAAGAGTCGTTGTGTCATGAGCCCACAGGAGCTGCAAGAGTTTCACACGGTGACTTTTTTGTCTGCAATGGCCATGGAGGCCGTCGTCCTCTGGGACGACCTCTCAGAAAAACTGGAAGACGACCCAAGTCTGTGCGCAGCCCTGGGGGTGACTCAGGGTGAGTTGACTGTCGTTGCAGAGACAATGAGAAAACTCTTGGACAGCACGCATGACCGTAAGACGGATCTGCAAAGAACTTTGGAAGCTGCCATGCAGCCTGTGCAAGCGCCTGCTCGGCGCTTTCCATTGGACGATATGTGGGCAGCAGCCGAGGCTAGTCACGCTCACCTACCCTCGGCGCTGGAGAGCGTGCTGCTTCCAAATGCAACTCCGCCTCGCTCAGGGCCAGATGAAACGACGACGACAAATGCGGAGGACCAAGAAGAACCTGCTGGCCATTGACAAGCTTCGCCAAGGGTGGGGTCTAAGGACCAGGGTCTACGGACCGGGGGGTTCAGGTCTACGGACACGGACTCTGTCTGGCAAAGACGAAATCGGATTGTCTGTTGGTCTACGGACCGGGGGACTCATCGGTCTACGGA